AATTTTGACAAGTGACTCCAAAATTTGTGTCCAATCTCAGAGCAAAATAGCCATAAAAGCAGTCTTTGTTGGTGAGGTATGCGGAGCTTTGGTCAGAAAAGCCCTGCAGTCATATCAGTGCTTTCTTTCTTTATCACTATGCAGCAATATCGTATTCTTTAAAATAGGCCATTTCGATGTGCGAGGGGGATATTCAGCTTTACATTCACTGAAACCACGCTCTGTGCTCCAGCCTGCAGTAATCATTTTGCAGTGTTAGCTTTCTGCAGCACTGTGCAATCACATTATAAAGGTGTTCTCCACGAGACAGGCCACTTGGATAAGCATAAATCTACATAGCAGCATTTTCTTTTTTTTTTTTTTGCTCTCAATAAAAAAAGTAAAATAACTGCAATATGCTCCGACCTGCAGCCGTCACATTAAAGTGTCACCTCTCCAAAGCACTGTGCAATCATATTACAAGGCAGTCCTGCATGAAACCAGGCACTTGATGAGCATAAATCTGCAGAGACAGATTGAATCCTCGGGCCTCTTGCACGGCACCGAGGGGGAAGGAGAGCCCAGAATCTGCTCGCAGACAAATATCCCTTGGCCTAACATTAATCTGCATAAAGCGCCGGTGTGAGGAGGTGAGTTGTGTGTAATACGTGCTGAATATGTGGCTAACAGAAGGAGCCGAGCAGAGCCTCTAATCAGGAGGAACGGCTGCTGCCGATGGCGGCGGTGGCGAGGCTGGAGGCCCTGACCTGCTGACTGGATTCTGCTGAACACGCTGGAAGAGAAATCTCCTCGCTCCCCCCTCCTCCTCATCCTCCACCTCCTCCCTCCCCCTTCCCCGTGCGTCCTATCTCTTCTCTCCTCTCGTCTCCTCTTCCGCCCACGTATCCTCCTCCATGATGGCTTTCTCTCCCTGCCGAGTGTGTGCTCAGCTCCTCGCCTCTTATTCATTCATTCATTCACTCCTTTGCCGTCATTTCTTTTCTTCATTTGGCTTCTGCCTCCCTCTTGTCCTCACATTGTCTTCTTTGAATTGCAGTCCCTTCCTTGCCCTTTCCTTTGCTCTTTCCATTTTTTATTTTCTTTTAATGACCTCCCTTCTGTCCTTTCTTTATGATTCTGGTCTGCTGTTTTCATTTTATTTTCCTTCCCTTGCCTTTCCTCCCCGTTACTGTCCTTTAATTTAGTTTGTCTCCTCTTGTTATTTTATGATACGACCCATTATTTTGTTCCTCTTCCTTTCCGTACATAATCAAATTTTGCTTTTCTTTTTCTTCGGTGTAATTTTTAAGCACACAGGGATGCCAGTCCTTTATTTCCTTAAACCACCCCACCACCCCCCACATACACATTTCCTCTCTTCCTTCGATATTAACTTAATCTTTTCCCTTCCACGTCTTTTCTGATGGCCTCCCCCACCTCCTCTAAAACCCACGTTTCCTGCAAAATGGTCTAAAGCCAACCAGCTGCGCAGACTGAAGGCAATCCGGCAGAATTAGCATTGCCATTTGAAACGACGCTGCAGACAAGTGCACATCAATAACCGTCATTTTAAGGGAAAGGTTCAAGGGTCCGACGGAGGCTTCTGAAGGCAAACCGCAGACAGGAAATAAAATACTCTCTTATTGCTTGCTGTGCAAAGTGAAAACCTCGATCGGAGCAATCAATAGACTTTAATCTGCAGCATTATAAATCTTTCTTTGAGAAGTTATCGGGTTGTCTTGCCTGTGCTTTTAGGTGATTTAACACCCGATGCCCACATTGGCTGTTTCTTATTTTATCAGAGTTTTGTGTTGTCGCAGTGTCAGGTCCCTACTTAACTCTTCTTCTTTTTATCATACAGCAGAGTCACGTAAGTATACGCACATGTAAACTGGTGCCAGTTAGCGAGTGTTTTATGACGAAGATAATGTTGAATTTTTTGAACCCCAAAATGTTTATCAGATCCATAAACTGTAAAAACAATTAAATTAAATTTAAAAAAAAGAAAGAATTGTTGAATTTTTAGCTTCTTGTCAGTCAAACAACAACAAAAAATCTGATCTAAGCTTAACATAGTTTTTAAAATCACCTCATTCTACACGACTCTATAAAATATTAATAAACTATTTGCACGAGATTCTACAAATACCAAAACACGACTAGTATAGATATCTTATGTACTGTGTGTTATTTTCTGTTCTGCTGCTGTAACACTTAAAGTTTCCCTACTGTGGGATCAATAAAGGTTTAATCTATCTATCTATCTAATCTAATCTCTCTATCTCTAATGTGAAAAATATAGAGTTTGTAGAGGCTGTAAATATATAAGCAGCTAAATATCGATAGCATGTGCAGCCATCGTTTCTCAGTTTTTTTCCTACAGTGTTGGTAACATCTGGAAAAAACTGTACATAATGATTTTTCTTTAATTTTTTTTTTAGGGTTTATGGCATTATCATTTTTTCATACTGCACAGAAGACATTCTTTGTACTTCCAGCTGTAGTCGTGCTGTTTCCATGGAGGTGCAGGACTTTAGTCCACAGTGAGGAAAAATATGACAGGAGCAAAAGAAACATCCAGTTTGGGCTTCAGAGGGTTAAATAAGTTAGACAAAACCTTGATCTATCTATTTATCGAGGTATATAACAGCACTTTTATTATTTTCAGAAAATAGGGAGGCATAAATTTTATGTTATTAAAAAAAAGTGATAAATTATTGACGCTCAGTAAATTTTGAAAAAGTCTAAAAAAAAAAAAACAAAAGTCTACACAAATTTAAACTCTACATTGTCAACTCCAAAAGTAATTGATCATCTATATTTGAACCAATTTCTGAATTAAAATGCACCATAGTGACCCCACAGTTGATTTATAGGTGAAGTGAACGACACTGAACCTGTTAGTGGACAAACGGACCTCACCAGGATGGAAAGTTAACAGATAACGCAGCATATTGAAGTGACACAAAGCTGTCCCTGTCCACTGATTTGTCGTGTTGCAATCGTTTAATATATTCAGCAATATTAAAGGGTGATCTATCTCGGTGTAAAGGCTAGGGCAAAAGTGGAATTTATATCAGTGTCATCTCTGTCGCCCAAACCCTTCATTAACATTTACACTGTCGTCCTAAATCCTTACTGATTGACATTCCCTTCCTCACTAACACGCTGAACTTCTTGAGCTATAATTTTCCTCCTGCTATTTGAACATTAAAATGAGAAATTATTTCTTATTAGCTCTGCAGTTTTGTTTTTTTTTTTGGTATTTTTTTTCCTGCCAAGCCAGTGGGTAAGTTATGCATCGCAGCAGCCTGGAGGCAGACAGGCTGCTGCCTGCTAATACAAAACGTTGTCTCCAGTGAAGCTGGCCAGCAGAATGAGCTCAGGAGGTAATTGGGGTCTTTAGTCTGCAAACCAAGAAAGTCTCTCTCAATAGTATTATTCACCCACAGTAATCAGACACAAAAGGATCATATCTGCAGGACTGCAGATAAATACGCTGCAAAGCTGAACTTTGTTTTAATCATCTTCAGACGCCACAGCACAAGTCAACTTCTTGCTAAATTAGACGGCTAATATTTCCTCACTCACTGTTGCTTCAGTGATCAAGAGCATTTAGCTGAACATTTCGGTGTTTTGATTTGAACCTGTGTTGTGGACCGTCTGCCAGCATCGCCCCAAAAAGACCACCCAGCACATCACTGCTGCTGTTTGCTCCATCGCCGCCTGTAATTGTCTGGAAAGTCCTGCAGCAGTAATTGCAGGATGGACCATGTGAGTGGATTGTGTGTATGGGGGTTTGGAACATGGCTTCCTCTCTGTGCAATGCAAATTAGGGCCACATACACATTAGTTACAACTGACAGGAGCCACTGTGTAAAAGGCCTGCTGTGCTACGAGAATTTAGCATGTTAAGCTAACGAGACAAATGGGCTGAGAGAGGTTCTTCACCACGGATCAACACAGAACAAATGGAGACGAGTGTTACGGAGCTTTCCTGTGCTCTGCTGTGTCCTGCTGGGCTGTATTGTTGCTTTAATAGTGCTTTATTTTGTTACTGTAGTATAATGCACTACCATCCATACTTGTGTACTTCTACTTTGTGCACTCTTTTGACTGCACTGTGTTATTACATCACGGCTACGTGACACTACGCTGTGTGGCCATGCTGCTGTAGGGCTCAGACAGTTTGTTGATTGATTTAATATTTAACTGAAGCTTGATTTTAAAAACATAAATGCATTTGTGTGTGTGTGTGTGTGTGTGTGTGTGTGTTTGCATTTCAGTCAGAAACTTGTTTTTTTTTGCAGTTTTTGCTACAACCAGCAGACACCAGGACTTTTCTCGACAGCCAGTATCAGCTCGCTGTCACCCAGTGGAACTCTTGTGTAACTTGACAATAGCTGCGATGGACGTACACATCAGTAATCACACAGTGTAAAGTGCTAAATGCTGTAAAGCTTAACATTAAAAGCAGTTTTGAAACTGTTCCGATCAGCAGAATTACTGGTAGCTGGGGTAGGACTGGCAAATTAAAATGAAGTGTCTACATCTGCCTGTCCTGAGGGGGAGAAGAAACATCACTTTCTCTTACTTTTGCCAGAAACAAGTGTTTATAGTGCAGCATAGGCACACCTGAGCCCAGGATAAAAGGCTTCACATCTACTGATTCTGCCAAAAAACAAAAAGAAAAAAAAGAACCTTATGTGTGGCATTAAAGGAGAAAATCTTCTCTTAGCCTAAAGGATTAACTTGAAATATCGATGTTGAACAAACGGTTTCTTCTTCATTGCTCCTGTCACAGTGATTTGCAGACATGTATGTTGATATATACCCTACAGTAACACATCTCTATAGGTTTTTAATCATTTACCCACAAAGGCATTTCCCCAATGCTCCTGATTTTACGAGCATTCGGAAAATGCCTCATCATTGCATGAGTAGTGACTGTCAAACACAAAAAAGATGGTCAGGGAAGAAAAGAAGAAGAAAAAGGGGAAAAAAAGAAAAAAGGAAAGTACCTTTCTTGTGAGTAGCTTCATTTTTGGAGCCTTTGGGGTCTAATAAAAAAAAGATCAGAATTAAACACAGCATATACTAACAACACGTTACCAACTATACGTTGTTTGTCCTCGTTAAGGAAAACAACCGCTTTGTCTATCAAGGAGCGAACAAGACAGCAAGGCTCGATTATATCTAAGGTGTCGCACTGCTGCCAACACTCAGCGAGGGTGAGTGTGTGGCAGTGGGGGAGACTTAGGAGGGGCAGGGAGGAGGGGGGCAACATACTGTGAAGGCAATAGCAGGAAGGAGGGATGCACGAGTCTGTAGAGAAACAGTCTACTGCCATACTGCAGCGGGCAGGAGAGGAGAGGCGATGCACTGAGATGGAGAGGAGGAGGGTTGCAATGCAGTTCTGTCAAGAGGAGCTGAAGTCAAACTAGCAAAATGCACTACAGGAGATGCAAGAGGCCAGAGAGAAAGAGGAGGAAGAGGAGGAGGGTGGGGAGAGTGCAAAGACTACATGTCAAACTGGCTTCATTTTGATTTTCTTTTGCCACATTTGGCCTTTGAGTAAATTACACTTTTTTTTTTTTTTTTTGTTTGTGTCGTTTCGGGCAACAGGTTGATGGCGAGTTGCATATTCCACAACAACTACGCTCCCAAATGAAATGAACCAGTCTCATAATAAAACAAAAAAAAATCTTTCAGTAATTTAGCTACAGAGATGGAGTTGTAACCCCTGAAAGAACAGCTGACGATCTGCAGATCTGAATGAAATCCTGCTTCTTTCTTTAAATGGACGCTGTTAATTCGAAGTCGTTTGGCTGAAATGGAGCCCATTCGAATGACGAAAGGTTAAACTTCCACCCCGAACAAAATGTAAATCTTCAACCTCTTACAAATGGGCGCCATAATTTCAGTCGCATACCACAGAAAGAGAACTTTTAGTCTGCAGAGAGGCTGATTTATAAAGGAACAACCTGCTAATGTCAAGGAGCTGGAAGTTAAGGCTGAACGATTCATTGTTCCACAGTGACAAGGCCTTTTCCCCTGTTCACTCCAGGAAAGTTACTCTTTAACAAAAGACTTCGCCTGACATGTCACTGAAGATCAGCGGCTTATTGGATTTGTCTAGAAAAGTTCAAGCGAGTACAAGAAGCAAAGACAAAAGTTTCACTGTGTTTAGATCAGCAGATACTCCACCAGGCCCGCGACACGACACAAGCCCACCCGTCATTCTGCATTATGATGAACAACAACTGTATTCTCATGCATTCTAAAAGAATGAAAACAAAAAAATAAAAAACTAGCATCTATACCATAAATATCCTCATGTAAAGGTCAACCAGTGTGCAGCTCATTCTGACCTTTCAAATACGGTTCTCAAGCAAATCACGATGACGTCTGCGCTTTTGACAGCAAATTTATTTCTCTTCAATTAGCGAGAAATGTCACCGCGCAACATTTATGTTTGTCATTAAAACAAACGGCTTCATCCCCCCTCCCCCGGTTACTCCAAAATATAAACAGAGGGCAAAAAAAGAACGTCCTCGCAGCGCACGCAGAAAAAATAGCTCCGATTTGTTGATTGATGTCCTATTTCGCCTCCGAACTGCAGTGAACTGAGCAAACCGGGCCCAGCCTGCTTTGCTGTACTTGACAACTGCCATTGTGAGGGATGGCAACTACGCCAAGTAGAAGTCTGGTAGCGATATTGTAATCTGTCATTGTCAGCCCCCCCAAAAAAGGAAATGCCTTCTAAGATAGATGGAAAGTATTCGTTGTGACCATGAACTGTTGTAGACAGGTGACTTAAACTCTATAATCTGCCTGAATCCATGAAAGGCAATTTTTCCTCCCTCCTCTGCGCACGACAATCTCTCTATGTCAGGGCTAAGCCCGGGCTTAGCCCTGCGGCCAGGCAGCCTGTCGAACATCTGAGCACCTGATCCTGGCATTAAAACCACAGCAGCTTTGGTTTTTGAGCTTCGCTTCGCTGGCAGCGGGGATCTCATAACGCGAGCTAATTACTAGCACTGTGCAGAATCAATCCTCCTGGCTTTGTGGAGGGAGGTGCAAAAACAAAAACAACAAAAAAACAAAAACCCTTGTCTTATAACAAAGGTATTTTTGGTTAAATGAGTACGCAGACTTTCCCTAAGTGTCGTTTCCTGCTCTGTGTACTCCCAGGCTGCTCCCATCAGGCAACGATTACACACATCTGCCATGTAAAGCCTGAAAACAGCAGCTCACTGGCTTCGTGATTGTGTTACAGCAGTAAACAATTACACGTCAGCCTCTCCATCAGGGCTTTTAGACTGATACGCTGGGTTTAAACTTTTTTTTTTTTCCTCAAGCTGGTAATTAGAGGTGTGATGGGGTTCCACAGGAGAACTGAATGGCCTTTTATAAAGCAGTATTCCTCTCCTTATAACCTTATTAGCCATGGACCAGTGGACTGCAGAGGAAGACAGAGTAATGTAGCCATCAAGTCTTCTTACACGTCCCAGATTAGCTTTGCCTGGAGCTAAAGAGATTCCAAGTTTTTGCTATCTTTAGATCAAGACGAAACAATAATGATGAGAGGTATTTATAGCCAATTGTGTGGCTGAGGAGAAATGGAATTCATTCATTTTGACAACATGGCTCATTTGACGGCACTCTAATTATCAGCTTGATCATTTCTTTTTTAGCTCTTGATAATGAATACTTTTAAACGGCTACTTTTGGCTGCAAACACCCTCGCTGCTTTTCATTTGTCTGCTCCTCTCCCCCCTCTTACCCCTCCATCAGTCTCTCTTTCACTCCGTCTTGAGTGCCCTCATACGTTTGGCTGCCTTTTACCATTACCCTATTCAATATTCCTCTCTTCGTTGCCCTTGCCGTTCCCCCTCCTCCTGCTAGACGCTGAAGCGTGATCAATATTTTTGTCATAACTCAGGGGAGAGTCACCTCTGTGACGACATTAAAATTCCTCGCTCCGTGCAATATAGCCCCCATCCAAATTTCCTGGCTTGGAAAGGATAGGGCCATTACCTAGAATACTAAAACAGCCATGAGACCTTCCTCTGGGCAAGAATGTCCGCTCACTCCAGCAGATTTCTGCGTTTCCATCCTCAGTAAAAAGAGTAAAAAAAATTTAAAAAAAAAAAGCGGCGGCAGAGGGAGTAGATATTACAGTTTGTATCTCAGAGCTGCTTATTCAAGTCTGCTGCGAGTGTTATACATAACTGAGCAATGCTGAAGCCCACTGGGAACTGTGTTAGCATCAGAATTCCGGCGCTAAACTAGTGGAAACATATTCTGTGTTTGCAGCTCCAGACCCTGGATTGCACTTTTGCCATCTGCAGCTCTTTCCAATCTCTTGCCGTAAGCAAGTCGTCAGCCATTTGCAACGCTCCCTTCCCTCCCTACCTTCCATCACCTTTTCCTCTTTCTTTCTCCCTCTCCCATCCATCCCACCCCCTCCCCCATTCCTCCGTCCCACGCTCATTACCTTATGCCCATTAATCCCATTAAGTAGCCATTAAACAAGTGCTGATAACACCAAATGAACGTCAGGCTCTGACAGCTAATAACTACAGTCCCACCTCGACACGTTCAACCCCGGCAAGGAGAGCAGGAGATGCAGGGACGAACGACGAGGGAGTTGTACAACACAACGGCAGCATAGAGTCGTGTAGCTTTGTGCGGGTGTGAAAGGAGAAAGCGGAAAGTGAGGAGGATCAGGAGGACGTAGGACGCCCAACATGTACATATACTGCCTTCTGGTTAGTCATGTCCACTTGTTCAGGCAAGAATTGAGCTCAGAGGAAAAATGACACAGTGGTGGATTTTTAACAGAGGTTTCCTTTTTTCCTATTTCTTTTTTTTTTTTTACACTGATCATTGTGGGGATTTAAGAGCAGAGAGAAGAAGGGAGCTTTGCCAAACCAGCCGTAGGAGCAGCGTGAAATAAAAGGATTGTATCTAAAGAAGCAAACTCCAGCGAAGGCAACTACTGTGGCTGCTCAAGAGTGCTGAGGATGAAATCCTGCTGCTGAAGTAGACCCGCACTACCCCGATGCACACCGAGTGTACGGCTGGCAACACGTTCAGGGGGGAGTTCAGCGCTAGCAGCTCGTTTTGGTCGAGCTTAAAACCAGAAGCCCGCTCACGCTCGCCGTCCTCGCTGCCACTCGGCTTGAGTGATGAGGAAGGACAAGGTTATGGCAAAGAGGGAGAGGGGAGTTGCAGCTGTAGTCTCTGCCATTCATCAAGTGCGCACACACATACACACACACACACACACACACTGGGACACAAGAGGAATCACACAAACACACCTTCTCTGGATGGTTCTCTTTCTAAGCCCCTATCTCTCTCACACTCTCACACACACTCATTTATCTGCACAGAGCCATGTGGCCATTCATTACCAGGGGCAGTAGATCAGAAAGGCCTGGTGTTGCTGTTTGAGAGGACTGAACAAGCTCTCGCTGCTCTGCGAGCTGGATTGCAGCCTGCCCACCCGGTCAGGCAGGTCAAAGGCGGCCAATTTCTTTCACGAATCGGTGCAATCGGTAAACAAGGCTCGAATACCGAGAAAGCCCGAAAAAAGGGTGTGAAAAGGAAGGAGGTGAAAGGAGAGGAAATGCTTCAAGATTCACTGGGCGATGTGTGTTGTAACGACCTTGACTTTCATCCATGCAAGGAGAAAATGAACATTGAAGAAAAAGGCTGGACATGAGAGGAGACGGGAACACATAATGACACGGGTTAAAGTGAACGGAATGAAATAAAACAGATTACAGGTAAAACAACAGGAAAAGAAGATGTGGTTGGGAAGACATGGACAGGACTGTGAGAGAGAAAAGTAACACAGAAAGAACAGAAACATGAATGAATCAATGGACGAAGGATGGAAGGATTAATGAATCGAGGAGGAAACGAGAAAGGGAGGGACGGGAAAACACCATTACAAGAATGAGAAAGCAGAAACTGAAAGAAAGGATGAACTCATGGATTATAAATGGTTTGTCCTGAATGTGTCACAAGTGTTTGCTCTCTTCTCTCC